CTTATTTTTATTAAATTAACTACATGGCTTGTGTATATCATATATATATATATATATATATATACATATATATTATTCATACCTTCGGCGTATAGGACGCAAGCAGATTTTGACATCAAATTTTGAGGTAAAAAGTGGGTCTTATACACCGAAAAATACGTTAGTATGGAGATAGAACATTTCATGTTACTGAGTTCTACTTGTTTCATGTAGTTCCATCCTCATTGATGATCTCAGACAAAGACCAGGCTTTTCATAGTGATGAATTGAAGTTTCCCAATGGGTGGCTGTTTCTGCTAACAATTACTAAATGGAGTATTCATACCTCACTGGAAAAAAATTTACATTTTCTAAGAAAGGATTTTTTTCAGAGAAGTGCTGCATGGGAAAAGTGTTTTGATTGTGCTCTTTAGTCATGTGCAACTCATTGCATCAAAATGATTCTATTTACAGAGCTCAAAATTTTCATAAATTTTACTGATATAAACTGTAATGTTTTTATATTTATATTAAAAGTGGTACTGTTTATTGAAAAAATAATAGTTTTTTTTAAGAACTCTGGTTTCTCAGTACTACATTTAAAAATTACATCAATAAATATATAATCAAACCTTCACGTACAGTACTAGTGAAAGTCATGTTCTTGTTGTGAGGGGAATATCTTTATTTAAAATTGTGTGTTCTATTATATAGAAATGGTAGTTGCACAGCTATTTTACTAATTATCTGAATCTGGAATACCCAAAGTGTGAGATTTTTTATGGATTTTTGTTTATGGTGCCATTCAATAGATGGTGCAGGAGTTTGGGTTACATACATAGATATTGACATACATGCTATGTCCAATGGTAAGATGAGTATGATGGTTATAATGTTATTTATATTATGTAATATGTTAAAAAGATGTTTTTCTTAATAATTAATTTTAACATTATGTTTTTTAGGTAAAGACTAGAGATAAGATATCTGGTGATGTGGCAGCAACAACAGATGCTTTAATACAAGAATCAGAACATTTTCAGTCAATGGATGATATTGCTGCTCTTGGTTTGGATGTTGTCCAGCCTGGTTCATTGTTTGGTTTAGATCAGGTCAGTTTAAACTTATTTTGAAAAAAATATAATTTAATTTTCAGTTTAGTTTATGGTTTCAGTCAGCTAATTATAGAAAATAAAAATTTTGTATTTGTTGTCCATCAGACATTATCTCTAAAATTTCAACCAGTTGTTATAAAGCTCTTGATCCAACAGATTTGGAAGTTCAGAAATTTGTAAAATTGCATGCTTTTAGTTTCACTTACTTTATAAAGAATACAGAAATATTTATTATAAACATTTACTAATCCCATTCATTGTGGTTGTGGTGAGTTAATATTGTACTGTCTAAGTGCATTAATGTGACTTGTACAGAGGGTTACTCACAGTTATAAGAATGGTGATCCAGGTCATGCACTGCTCTTGGAACTGCTTCGTTCATCATCAGTCATGCTAATTCTGATAGCCATCATTATAACAGTCTTCTTCAAAATATGGTGAGATCAGTCTTTTATTGACTGTCCCAGTTTGTTGAAATCAGCTTCAAAGGTCACACGTAAGCAAAACAAATGTCCATTGATTCACAGTCAGTTGACTTGACAGGGACATCACAAAATGAAATAGTATGAACACTTATATTGGGGGGGGGGGGGTCGTTATGACCAATCCACAAACTGGAAGTGGTTGTGGTAGCTCTGCATGTTGTGAGATTTCTTTTAGGTGGTTCTACATACCCTCATGGTTTTTTTT